GCGTTTTTTTTCTACTCTTTAATGTTAAAGATATACAATTTTTTCTGTATCTGTTAGATACAAAATTACACACAGATACACTTAAGAAATTGAACAAATATTTAACTCAATGACAATGTCATATTTTTTAACACTCTCTCACCGGCAAACTTAAGTTCAGAGTTGCCAGATTTTTTTTAAATTTTAGACTATAGACTAGACTATAGACTAGACTATAGACTAGACTATAGACTAGACTATAGACTAGTCTATAGACTAGACTATAGACTAGACTATAGACTAGACTATAGACTAGACTATAGACTAGACTATAGACTAGACCATAGACTAGACTATTGACTAGACTATTGACTAGACTGGACTATAGACTAGACTGGACTATATACTAGACTATAGACTAGACTATAGACTAGACTATAGACTAGACTATAGACTAGACTATAGACTAGACTATAGACTAGACTAGACTATAGACTAGACTATAGACTAGACTATAGACTAGACTATAGACTAGACTATAGACTAGACTAGACTATAGACTAGACTAGACTATAGACTAGACTATAGACTAGACTATAGACTAGACTATAGACTATACTATAGACTAGACTATAGACTAGACTATAGACTAGACTATAGACTAGACTATAGACTAGACTATAGACTAGACTATAGACTAGACTATAGACTAGACTATAGACTAGACTATAGACTAGACTATAGACTAGACTATAGACTAGACTATAGACTAGACTATAGACTAGACTATAGACTAGACTATAGACTAGACTATAGACTAGACTATAGACTAGACTATAGACTAGACTATAGACTAGACTCTAGACTAGACTATAGACTAGACTATAGACTAGACTATAGACTAGACTATAGACTAGACTATAGACTAGACTATAGACTAGACTATAGACTAGACTAGACTATAGCCTAGACTATAGACTAGACTATAGACTAGACTATAGACTAGACTATATACTAGACTATAGACTAGACTATAGACTAGACTATAGACTAGACTATAGACTAGACTATAGACTAGACTGGACTATAGACTAGACTGGACTATAGACTAGACTGGACTATAGACTAGACTGGACTATAGACTAGACTGGACTATAGACTAGACTGGACTATAGACTAGACTGGACTATAGACTAGACTGGACTATAGACTAGACTGGACTATAGACTAGACTGGACTATATACTAGACTATAGACTAGACTATAGACTAGACTATAGACTAGACTATAGACTATACTATAGACTAGACTATAGACTAGACTATAGACTAGACTATAGACTAGACTATAGACTAGACTATAGACTAGACTATAGACTAGACTAAGACTATAGACTAGACTATAGACTAGACTATAGACAAGACTATAGACTAGACTATAGACAAGACTATAGACTAGACTATAGACTAGACTATAGACTTGACTATAGACTAGACTATAGACTAGACTATAGACTAGACTATAGACTAGACTATAGACTAGCCTATAGACTAGACTACAGACTAGTCTTTAGAATAGAACTGAACTAGAACTTTTCTTCTTTTCTTTTCAATTTCAAAAGGTTAAAATTTTAATAATTCCTCAAGTATGGCAACTCTGTTTAACATGTTTATTTTATTATACTTGTTGTTTTTGCTGCTGTTAAAGTTCTTCTTCTTTATTTTCTTTATACATTTTTGTCGGTTTTTTGTATTTTATTGTCGTGTCTACTTTTAATGTATGCAGGTTTCAATGTATGTGGGTTAGTCATGCTAAATTTAAAGAGAGAGTGATTTTGTATGATGATATGTTTACTCTCTTCTTTTAACTTTTAGTAAAGAAGAGTATTTATAAATTAATATTAAAACATTACAGGGTAGTGGAAAGCAATAGCACAACTATAACCTCTTTTTATATTGGAAAAAATATTTAGAAAAAGTATCTATCTCCTCTCAAATTTTAACTGTTTTAACATTAATTAAACAATTTTTTCTTCTTTTATTTTTAGGTAAGTCTTGTTAAATATTAAGTAAATTGGTTCAATCAAAAGTCAAACGTAAGTCATTATATATAAATTTTAAAATAGTTCTCAATTACGTTAAAAAAAAGATTAATTTTATGGGTTTACTGTTTCAATGTGTATTTCCCCATTTTGGGAATTTCTTCTAAAAAGTTTATGTATTTCGAAAAAATATCATTATTGACATATTATTTCTAGAACTGAACTAGAACTGAACTAGAACTGAAATAGAACTGAACTAGAACTGAACTAGAACTGAACTAGAACTGAACTGAACTAGAACTGAACTAGAACTGTACTATAACTGAACTAGAACTGAACTAGAACTGAACTAGAACTGAACTAGAACTGAACTAGAACTGAACTAGAACTGAACTAGAACTGAACTAGAACTGAACTAGAACTGAACTAGAACTGAACTAGGACTGAACTAGAACTGAACTAGAACTGAAGTAGAACTGAAGTAGAACTGAACTAGAGCTGAACTAGAACTAGAACTGAACTAGAACTGAACTAGAACTGAACTAAAACTGAACTAGAACTGAACTAGAACTGAACTAGAACTGAACTAGAACTGAACTAGAACTGAACTAGGACTGAACTAGAACTGAACTAGAACTGAAGTAGAACTGAACTAGAACTGAACTGGAACTGAACTAGAACTGAACTAGAACAGAACTAGAACAGAACTAGAACAGAACTAGAACAGAACTAGAACAGAACTAGAACAGAACTAGAACAGAACTAGAACAGAACTAGAACAGAACTAGAACAGAACTAGAACAGAACTGGAACAGAACTAGAACAGAACTAGAACAGAACTTGAACAGAAAGAACAGAACTAGAACAGAACTAGAACAGAACTAGAACAGAACTAGAACAGAACTAGAACAGAACGAGAACAGAACTAGAACAGAACTAGAACAGAACTAGAACAGAACTAGAACAGAACTAGAACAGAACTAGAACAGAACTAGAACAGAACTAGAACAGAACTAGAACAGAACTAGAACAGAACTAGAACAGAACTAGAACAGAACTAGAACAGAACTAGAACAGAACTAGAACAGAACTAGAACAGAACTAGAACAGAACTAGAACAGAACTAGAACAGAACTAGAACAGAACTAGAACAGAACTAGAACAGAACTAGAACAGAACTATAACAGAACTAGAAGTAGAACTAGAACTAGAACAGAACTAGAACAGAACTAGAACAGAACTAGAACAGAACTAGAACAGAACTAGAACAGAACTAGAACAGAACTAGAACAGAACTAGAACAGAACTAGAACAGAACTAGAACAGAACTAGAACAGAACTAGAACAGAACTAGAACAGAACTAGAACAGAACTAGAACAGAACTAGAACAGAACTTGAACAGAACTAGAACAGAAATAGAACAGAACTAGAATAGAACTAGAACAGAACTAGAACGGAACCAGAGTAGAACTAGATTAGAACTCTACCAGAATTATGCAAGAACTATACTAGAACTTGACTAAAACTAGTTTAGAACTAGACTAGAACGAGACTAGAAATATACTAGAGCTAAACTAGAATTAGACTAGAACTAAACTAGAGCTAACTAGACTAGAACTAGACTAGAACTAGACTAGAACTAGACTAGAACTAGACTAGAACTAGACTAGAACTAGACTAGAACTAGACTAGAACTAGACTAGAACTAGACTAGAACTAGTCTAGAACTAGACTAGAACTAGACTAGAACTAGACTAGAACTAGACTAGAATTAGACTAGAACTAGACTAGAACTAGACTAGAACTAGACTAGAACTAAACTAGAACTAGACTAGAACTAGACTAGAACTATACCAGAATTAGACTAGAGCTAGACTAGAACTAGACTAAAACTAGACTAGAACTAGACTAGAGCTAGACTAGAACTAGACTAGAACTAGACTAGAGCTAGACTAGAACTAGTCTATAACTAGACTAGATCTAGACTAGAACTAAACTAGAACTGTACTGGAACTCCGATAATCTCATCTAAGTGCTATTTTTCTAATCTTTACTGTTTTCTTTTAATTCTTTTACTCTTTCTTAAGAGCTCACTGACTCTTTTAATTCCCTGCTCACGCTCTTTGTTTGAGTGTGTGTTTGTGTATGAGTAAGTGAGTGCATGAATGAAGTTGTTTTTGCTTTTGTATTTACTCAGAGTATCTGTGTGTTTTGTTTTGGGTATTCGTTTTGTTTTTTTCTTTTTTTTTGCTTCTTCGTATTATGGTAGTTGTTGCTATATACTACATATACAAATGAATTAAAAATATTATAGAAAAAAAAAACTGAGTTCACGACTCTGGCAATGACTGACAAATCATTGATTTAGTATTTGTTTGGACATCGTCGTTAGCGGAGTATTTTCTTTCTTTCTTTACGTGAAACGTTTTAAAATAAAAACAGAAAAAAAACACACATAAAACGCATATAAATTAAGTAAAATGAAATAAATAAGAAAATAAACATAAAAGTGACGACGGAGTGTAGTGAGAAGAAGAAACAAAACATACACATACGAAATTTTGAAAAAAAAAAAAAAATCTAAAAGAAATCTAATAACAAAAATAAAAACGCTCCGTGACAAATTAATTTCAAATTATGGTTAAAGTTTTTTTTTTTTGTATTTGTATTTTATTAAGAAAAGAAAGCAAATTTTAAGAATTTAAATAAAAATAAAACAAAAAAAATGTTTAAAAAGACGTGTTAAGAAATTTTAATTTTGAAAAAAAGTTTTTTTAATTAAAAAAATAATACATAAAAAAACGTGCTGTTTTAATTATTATAAAGATGTTAAATATAAAAGTTAATACAAAAATTAAATAAATAAATAAAACAAAAATATTTTTAAAGAAAAATTTTTAAGAAAAAAGTTTAAAAAAATTAATAAAACTAGAGTTTGTTAAATAAAAAATAAAAGAAAATTTAAATTTCTAACAAAATTTCTAACAAGTTTTGTTTTTTTTTTAAAGAAAAAATTTTAAAAAATTTTGAAAAATTTTTAAAAAATTCTAAAAATTTTTAAAGAAAAATAGTGGAAAAACTATTCTAATTAAACAAACGCAGCAGGCAGCTACGTCGCTGCCACTTTACAACATTTAGAACAAAAACAACTGCAACTACAACAACAACAACAACATGTCTATCACATACCCACATCCTTTTTCTAAATAAAAACAACAACAACCATAACAATCGGAATAATAACTTCGTTTTAACAACTTCGTGCAGACAATTTCCAAAAGAAAAGAAAGAAACAAACAAAAAAAACATGTTCGTGTATTTTTCTTCGTTAACAGTGCGTGTGTGAGTGTGTGTAAACAAAACAGTGGAAAGAAGAAGAACAAAAATACGTGCGTGTTTTCAAAGAAGTCTGAAATTCAGACAACTTCGGGCCTTTGTTTACAGCTTTTCAAATTGTTGTTATATTTTGGGTTTTTTTTGTCTTTCCTCCAACCTAAATGACGTTTAGTCTAACATCATTATTATCTATAAGTAATGAAAACAACAAATGTGCCTGTATGTGTGTGTGTGTCTAATAAAGTATTAAAATACAAAAACAAATCCTGCAGGAATCATTCATAGTCTGGGTTTTTAAATTTATGCGTCTGCTGGCATATAACAAAAAAAAAACAACAAAAAACACAGACCAAAAAACCAGATAAAAAAGTGCAAAAAAATCTCCTGAAAATTACCTTAAATTACAAAAAAGAGCAAAAATCTTTTTAATTTGAAACCTTTAACTTGTTGCTGTTTTTCTTTTACCAAATTATTTATAATTTTTGCTGTAAACGGTTGACCTGCTTAACAAATTGTGATACAAATATACAAAAAAAAAAAAAAACAAATTGGATTATTTAACCAACAACAACAACCCCTGTTCTTACTACTTCAAAAAACTACCTGTCAAATGGATTATTACAAAAAACAAAAACTTCTTAAAAGAAATTAATTAATAAACATACCAGTTTTTGTTAATTTCTCTCTTCTGCAACAAACCTCCCAAAAAAAGGTGAATATTTGTAAAATTTATAAAAAAAAACATAAATTTTAAAGCCACAATTTCTTAAAAAATGACACTTAAGCAAAGTTTTATACAAATTTAAAAAAATAGTTTAATATCTATAGAATTCACTACAAAATTTTATAGAAAAGCTTTTAAGTTTTTCAAAAATTTCTTAAATCAATCAAAATTTGTAAAATTAATCACAGTCTGGCAACGTTGTCATAAAATTTTATGGCAAAATGTCACGAATCTTTTAAAACTTAATAAAATGCACACCTATCAATGTTTAAAACCCCCAAAAGCTTTAACGCTAAGCTAACTAGTATGTTAAAAGTTAGATTTTCAGAAAGCTTAGGTCCTGGTCCATCATCTTTTCATACATAGTTTTATCATGCGATGTATATCTAAGAAGCTCGGAATCACTGTACTAAAACCTTAGTAATAGATCTTTTTTTCTCGAGGTACTGTACTTTTAAGCCTTAAAACTCAGCTAATATTCACACTAGCATGTTAAGAGCTAAATTTTCTAAATCAATCAAAATTTGTAAAATTAATCACAGTCTGGCAACGTTGTAATAAAATTTTATGGCAAAATGTTACGATTCTTTTAAAACTTAATAAAATTCACAACTTTTATAGTTTAACACCCCCAAAAGCTTTAACGCTAAGCTAACTAGCAAGTTAAAAGTTAGATTTTCTAAAAGCTTAGGTCCTGGTCCATCATCTTTTCATACATAGTTTTATCATGCGATGTATATCTAAGAAGCTCGGAATCACTGTACTAAAACCTTAGTAATAGATCTTTTTTCGAGGTACTGTACTTTTAAGCCCTAAAACTCAGCTAATATTCACACTAGCATGTTAAAAGCTAGATTTTCTAAAAGCTTAGGTCTTGGTCCATAACTAATTCATACATAGCTTTCTCATCCGACACTTATTTAAAAAGATCGTATCACTGTACTAAAACCTTAGTGACTTGTACTTCTCTTTTTTGAGGTACTCTTCTTTAAACTCCCAAAGCTTTAACACTATTGTAACTAGCAAGATAAAAGTTAGATTTTCAGAAAGCTTAGGTCCAGGCCCATGACTTCTCCATACATAGCTTTTTCATCCGACGCTTATCTATGAAGTTTTTATCGCTGTACTAAAACCTTAGTGATTAGTACCTCTTATTTTTGAGGTACTCTACTTTAAACTCTCAAAGCTCCAAAGCTATTGTAACTAGCGAGATAAAAGTTAGTTTTTCAGAAAGCTTAGGTCCAGGTCCATGACTTCTTCATACATAGCTTTTTAATCCGACGCTTATCTAAGAAGATGTTATCACTGTACTAAAACATCTCTTTTTAGAGGTTTTCTACCTTAAAACTCCCAAAGCTCCGCCCTTGTCCTAACTAGCAAAATAAAAGTTAGATTTACAGAAAGCTTAGGTCCTGATCCACGACTTCTTCATACATACATTTGTCATCCGATGCATATCTAAGAAGCTCGGAATCACTGTACTAAAACTTTAGTGACACCTCTCTCTTTTTCGAGGTACTCTACTTAAAACTCCCAAAGCTCCAATGCTATGTAAATTAGCAAGATAAAAGTTAGATTTTATAAAAGCTTGGGTCTTGGTCCATAACTACTTCATACATAGCTTTTTCATTCGACGCTTATCTAAGAAGTTCTTATCGCTGTACTAAAACCTTAGTAATTGATACCTCTCATTTTTGAGGTACTCTACTTTAAACTCTCAAAGCTCCAAAGCTATTGTAACTAGCAAGATAAAAGTTAGATTTTCTAAAAGCTTAGGTTCTGGTTAATGTCTTCTTCATATATAGTTTTTTCATTCGACGCATATCTAAGAAGCTCTGATCACTGTACTAAAACCTTAGTGATAGATCTTTTTTTTTCGATGTACTCAACTTTCAAATCATAAAGCTCAGCCAGTATTCATACTAGCATGTTTAAAGCTAGATTTTGTGAAAGTTTAGATCCTGGTCCATGTCTACTTCATACATAGTTTTTTTTATTCGACGTATATCTAAGAAGATCTTATCACTGTACTAAAACCTTAGTGATAGATCTTTGTTTCGAGGTACTCTACTTTCAAATCATAAAGCTCAGCCAGTATTCATACTAGCATGTTAAAAGCTAGACTTTCTAAAAGCTTATATCCTGGTCCATGTCTACTTCATACGTTTTTTTCTTCATCCGACGCTTAATAAAGAAAATTTCATCATTTTATTAAAACCTAATAACTGTTCACTCTTTTTCGAGGTACTCTATTTTAAATCCTCAAAGCTCCAGCGCTATGCGAACTAGCAACTTAAAATCTAGTTTTTCTGGAAGCCTAGGTCTTGGTCTATGACTACTTCATACATAGTTTTTTCATCCGACGCCTGATAAAGAAAATATTAACATTTTACTAAAACCTAATAACTGTTCACACTTTTTCGAGGTACTCTACTTTAAAACCCCAAAGCTCCAGCGCTATGCTAACTAACAACTTAAAAACTAGATTTTCTAAAAGCTTAAATCCTAGTCCTTGATTTCTTCATACATTGTTTTTCACTCCAACAAATAGTTTAGAAAGTCTTTTTAAGACCTAAAATTTGATCTGCTGGTCTGATTGCTGATATTCCAACTAGCAAGCTTAAAGTTCAATTTTCTTAAAGCTTACACCCTGGTCCATGCTTTCTACTTACAATGCTTTTGCCTATAGTCCAGACTATAGGCAAGACTATAGTCCAGGCTATAGGCAAGAATATAGTCCAGGCTATAGGCAAGAATATAATCCAGGCTATAGACCAGACTATAGTCTACACTATAGACCAGACTATACTCAATTCTCTATTCTTGACTACACGCAAGACTTTAGTTCAGACTAGACTATAAAAAGTGTTCAGTAACGACGATCTTTAGCTTTAAACCTTTTCTTTTGAAGTTTTAATTGTTTTAACGGTTTTTTATTTTGTAACTGTAATTGCCTTTTAATCTCCTTTTTAAAATCAACACTCTACATTTATAAAAAAAATATATGTATAAATTTTATCAACAATTTTCCCAATGAATCACTTGGAAATTAACCCTCAAACATTTATTATTTTAAATCAGTTTAATTGTCAATACAATAATGACAATTAAATGAAGAGACATGTAGAGAATACAGATTATCGGGGCATAAGGTTTTTGATTGTTAACAAATATAATATAATACTTAAAATGGCGTTTTAATTGTTTTTTAACAAAATTTGTTTTTAAAATTAAAAACAACATTAATCGTAATAAAGAAATTGTAATAGAACAGCTGGTATGGTCTGGTAAATTAAATTAGTGATATGGCAACTTTAGGGAACATCTTCTTACTCTTTCTAGGTTACTCATTGGCAGGTATGGGCACTTTTTTAACGGATATTTATTTACAAATAAATATCAATTCGTTAAAACAAATAAATCTTGTTAAATATTAAAGATTACTCTTTACTTTTTTCGTAAATTTAAGGCGCACCTTTTTTGTTTACCAGCAGATTGTCTGTCCGGAATTTTCTTATCATTTAACGCCTATTAAATGTCTTCCTTATTTTGACTTCGTTGTAAAAAAAATGCATTTTAAACTCATATTAGTCATGTTTTCTTATAATAAAAACATAAATTTATAATAAAAAAATATCACTTAATGTGTTTCCTTTAAACCGGTCACAAATCTTCCTTCAAATGAATAACACACCCATGCTAACGCAGCAACATTGGCAACCTTTAAGGAATGCAGTTTTTATGCGTTAGGTGGCAATAAAATCAAAAGAATTCGGTTTCAGTGTGGTCAACTGAAAGTGATAATTAAAGTTCTATAAAAATCTAATAATTTTCTCTTAAAAAAACCAAACGGTTACTTAAGTAATCGGTAATTGCTTTAACCTTAAAGCATTTAAAATAAATGCAAATATTACAATTTATAACTAAAAAGAATATTACTTAATTTTATGATATTTTTTTTTCAAAGAAAAACTAACGGTTACTCAATTATTTGAACGGGTAACAGTACATTATTTCATTAAAAATTCCACAATTGTATTTGGAATGCTCTAAATAGTCTATAATAAGCTTAAAAAGCATATATTTTTAGCGAAATCGTTGAAAAAACGAAATAGTTACTTAAGTAATCGGTTTATGTTTAGTGCTAAAACACATTAAAAAGCAGCTTTTTAACTTTATTTAAAGTAAAATATGAAAAATCTTTATATTTCTTTTCATTTTTTTTAAGAAAACTCCACGGTTACTTAATTTTTTACACGGGTAACCGTTGCTTATATCCTGCAAAACTCTTTTATTTTAGTGTAAATAACTTTTATGATCAAACTTTTATGTAATTTACTTATAAAGTATAAACTTTTAAAGAAATCGTGTAGACACCGAAACGGTTACTTAAGTAATCGGTTTTTGTTAAGTCTTAGAACACATTAAATAACAGCAATATACCTAAATTTAAGTTTAAATATGAAAAATCTTTCTATTTTTTCTAAATTTTTCATAGAAAATTCAACGGTTACTCGATTATTTGCTCGTTACTCGTTATAAAAAGTTGCTAAACTTAGAGTTTTTTAATGAAATAGGGTTCAAATATTGACTTTTAAACCCATTTTTGGATACTCATTAGTTTTTAGTTACTTTTAAACAAGAAAAAAATATTGGGTAACCGAATAATCGTTATCAGATTTCATGAAAACATAATTAATTTTAAATTCTTACTAAAGAATTAACATAGTGTAACATTTGGTCAGGATTTTTTTATTTTTCAAACAAAAATAAACGGTTTTTTGTTATATATTTAACGATTACTTGAGTAACCGATTAATTTTTGGGGAAAAATTAAATAAAAGTGTATTTTAAACATTTTATATGGATTAAAATTTGGAAAAAAACTTAAACGAGTAAATTTTTTTCTAATAAATTATTAAGTAACCAAATAACCGAGTAACCACTTTAAGATTTCTTGAGAAAAATTGTTAATTTTTTATATATTT